CTTACCTACCGAGCGGAAAACTGGAGGCTTACAAAGAGCGCTCAATTAAGGACGAGGCAGCGAGTCATGTAAAGGAAAATGATAGGTGTAACATTAAAAGACAAGAAGAGAGCAGATTGGGTCCGGGAACAAACAGTGGTTAAGAATATCAAAGTTGAAATCAAGAGAAGGAAACGAAGATGGCACGAACACGTAGCACGTAGGCAGGATAACCAGTGGTTAATAAGGGTAACTGACTGGATTCCCATAGAAGGCAAACGCATGAAGGGGAGACAGAAAGTTAGGTGGGCTGATGAGATTAAAAAGTTTGCGGGTATAACGTGACAACGGAAAGCACAAGGCCGGGTCGATTGGCGTATCATGGGAGAGGCCTTTGCCTTGCAGTGGGTGTAGTCAGGTTGATGTTGATGATGGTGATGCACACATACAACGCATTTTCAAAAAGTATGACACCAGAATAAATTGGAGGCAACCACTTCTTGCCTATATTTTTCTTACTGTAGAAGTGCATGACCATTCTATCGGGAAATTTGCACGTAGCGCTACTCGTCGGCGATAGCGGCAGAGTGCCACAACTGAATGAAAAGTAGGCAAAAATCAGAACTTTCCCGGTAATCGAAAACGACTCCGGGATCTGTATAGCAAGAGACCTACGAGGACATTTTGCTTAAATTTTAGTACCACACTTTACAAATCTCATGGTTTTCCAGTGTGTTTGGTATTTTACAATGTGGCCCCATACATTTACAATAGGTGGTGTTGAATTGTCCTGAATGGCTAAACTCTTTGTATAACGTTACTGAAATTTCACCGAAACACTCCAGTAGTTCACCGCAGTATAGGTCCTGGAGTCGTTTAGTTCAAGATATGTTGTTTTCACCTTCTATTTCATATTGGTTTATAGCATGACACCGTTGCTGCTCCCGACAGATGGTACCAAGTAAAGATGTCCCCAAGTCCTCAAAATGGTCAGCGAAGTATCGAAACAATACGTACTTTTCATCGCACGCATGTCATCTTGCACTATTTTCTAACAAATCTCAGCACGCCGCCAGAAAATGTTGACGAGCGAATCATTATTACGGCTTAGCGCTGTCTCTTCAACGCGATAAGCATATATGTAAAAGCGCAGTCTGCTTTGATGAGATCCCTATAAAAAAACAGCGTTTCCGGTATCTCTCAGTGCGTTTCAGCGCGCTGGGTGACGCTGGAAAAGCTGTACTGTGTGTGCCAGTATACTACAGCACGCTGCGAGGCACTGGGACACACTGTACAGCGTGGCCAGTGTCGCCCAGTGCGCTGAAACGCACTGGGCCACACTGTACAGCGTAGCCCATTGTCTACCGCACACTGATAACGTAAGCGGCACATTGGTAGAAACTAGGCGCGATCGGCTCACTTCTGTAAGACCTCATATTGAATCGCGACATGTCTAGCGTAAAATTTACCGAATATGGTGGTATTCTCATATATGTGCTACACATATATAGCTTCAGTTTCCTTAGGCAATGGATGTGAGTACGCTAAAGCATTCATATGTTGATCGCGCGGGTCAGAGGCGCTGCCAGAAGTTTGCTTGGAGGGACAAACGACAACTTTGTTTCTGCAGAAGGGGGGGGGGGGGGGGCAGGGAGCACAGAACGTATGCATCGTGTTTACCTATGCTTGCTCCTGGAGGTTGGGGGCAAAGGGGTAATGCAAGAATTTTGAGGAAAAATGGCTCTAGCCCAACCATCGATGCCCCTCTTTGCGCGGTTGCGCTTGCATTGAAGTTTGATTGAGTTTCACAAACGTGTTTCATAAACGGCATCAATAGAACTGAGAATTCGCAACAAAAAACGACAGTAATATTAGTCTGATAATGAAGACCAACCTAGTCAAGCAGTGAGTCGTTGCGGCTCGTGCCGTAGAATGCCGAAGGTTGCCGGCCACAGTTATCAACTGCATTGCCCAGTCTTGGTGCTTTTAGCTTCTGAATTGTGTTCTCAAAGGTAAAAATATGACCATTCATGGGTCAGTTAGGATGCAAACTACATTGTAACGATTATTAGACTCTTTCTAACTCAATATCTACGATCTTCACAACAACCGTGGCACAATTGAGAAGTACGGTCTTAAGCCTAGTGATCGTTTCGGCTAGAGTGAACTGCTGCGGCTGTCGTTCGTAGAACGTAATCAAGGAGGACAGAAAATACTTACAAACTATCTAGGGGTGAAATATACAGTGTTCAGTGAGCAGTTCAGATGAACGCTGTTTTAAACATAGCTATGACTAATCGAATAGCGAGTCGCTACGCTTGCCGTAACGCATCTGCAGCCACGCTAACAAGCTTTGCGGCAAAACGTGCCAAATAGATGTGATCCAAGGAAACCCGCAAAGTTTGAGCTAACATTCGCAAGTTTGGTGCGAGCACGAAGAGTAGAAACACTGCGTATGTAAACGAGAAATTAAAAATATTGGATGCCTGAATTACGTTTAAGATGAAGAAAATAAGCGCATTCTCTTGTTTAAGGTGTGCAATAGTGGGCAGCGTGTCTCGCTCAGAATACATGATGTGTTCAGATAATAGGGTCGACTCCGGCTCACTCACCTTTATTTCTTTTTATTTCTTTTTTCAATGCGTGCGTGTATCAGCCTTAATTACGATGTGCGCATGGCCATAAATTGTAAACACAATTTAAAAGCCAGATTTTGGCCGATAATGGGTGTCCCAGTATGCAGCGCCTGCGTGCCTCATGCAGCGTGGCACTGTCCCAGTGCCAGCGCCACACTGGACAGTGGTCCAGTAATCAGGTATGGTGCTGGGTCTTTGCCACTGGTTTTCGCGATAGGTATTCTCTGCAATTTGCATGCTTTGCTTTAAAAGCAGCTTTCATACAAAGTTTTTTTTTTCAAAAAACTGTCGACAAATTTGTTTATTTTTGTATTTTTTCAGTGCACTATTATTGGTGCAACGGCTGCTCGAGCAGTTTCTGCTAAAATCAGCCATGGTAATGGCATACACGTGCGCTTTCACCGCATTAAACTGCGGCCGATCGCATGGGCGCGAGCTGCTAAACTGTGTCGCGACTCACCGCCAGGGGCCCCTTTCGGCGAGCCACCTATCCAGCGCTGGTCTCTCTATTGAAGTCAGTGGCATACAAGCCTGCACCGATGGGCGTCCACTCCAGATTGACTTCACGAGTCGTAGGGCCTGTGGGCCTCCTTCGGGAGCACATTGCTGAGTGCCCGGCGCTTCGGATCTTTCAAGGAGGCGATCAGCTAGTGGGGCCTCTTCCAATTCACTAAGTTGTGTCCGACCATATACTTATCAACGACTCAAGCGCCTCAAGTGAATTTCGACGTCTGTCTGGTTTCGCCATCAGATTTAAAGTTTAGCTTTGCTTTAAATAAACATCACGTACGTAGCCCTAGCTAATCCAAACATACCTCAGATTGTGATAACAATGTTTACTGGAGTTAAACGCCAGCCAATATTTTCCTTTAAGACACGTGCGATAAGAGAAGGTTAAGGCCCATTTGTTATTGTTTGAGAAGACGTTCTAGGACCATTTTAAATACACTTGCATGAGAAAACACTGCCCAATGACAAGAGGCAATATTCGTATTGCAATTATATAGATACATCAAAAGTTGATCGAGTAGCCTCTCCATCAAGACATTTTTTTTTGTAATGAAACAACTTAATGCATAAAGATATCAGTGCGTAAAGAAATCAGTTCTGGTATAATTTACACAAGCGTAAGTCAATTATAGAGCCACTAAACAAAGCATACACGTGACGTATTTCTTGAAGCTTATCTCTGTGCTGTTTTTTATCATGGCAGTCCACATGAGATAACTCATCACTAGATGCCAATTATGGGTTACCTTGATTTTATGACCATTGTATCCAAGCCCTACCTGCGCACCTTCACCAGGATGACTTGAAAGACACACTTGCAAGTTGCGACGTACGGCCCCAATCAATACTATAGGTATAGAGCGAGGGAATGCAGCACATTTGCGCACTTTGAAGTACCTCTGCCACCGAAAGTTTGGTTTGGGATTTTTATAGCAATTTGTGGGTTTGCATCAAGTAAATTGGTATCGTAAATGCTATGATTCATCGCATATATATATATATATATATATATATATATATATATTGCTAGGATCATTAATTCAGAATGGCTGTGTATATTTTCGTAACGCCCGCCTTAATGCCATAAGAAGCTATGGCGGTCCACAGCGTGGCAGCGTCAGAGACTACGTGCGCTCAAGGTTCGGTAACGCTGAACGTGCCGTTTGTAAGTAGTGGGACCCGCGGGCAGGGAAGAATGAAACAATGTGGGTGCTTCTAGCTTGTCTCCCACACAAAAAAATTAAGAGCATCCTAGGCATAAGCAGCGAAAATGGCCGCGAGAGCAGCTAACAACAAAGCATGAAGAGTAATGAAAAACAGCCCTTTCAGAGTGCCAGTCTGGGTATTGTGCCTGCCTCGAAAATATTTACCGAAGCCAACAATCCGCGCTTGACATTTGCAACGTCACGAGGGGGTCCTCTGCACATGTCAAACCGAACAAAATGTCGACTTCCTCAAAATACGGGTATGAGCCCCACGCTTACCCTAAAGCAATATAAAATATGTTATATGTAAGCTTCGTTTCTAATAATCAGTCAGAAGTGGCCCCGCATGCATTAGTATCAAACAACGCAAGCGTCTTGAGTTTGCGAACTTGGTGTCAGGAGTTTTTTAGACAATCGAACAGTATTTCATGCTCCGTTCTTCTATCCCCTGAATTTTCAGCCGTCATGGAAGGCCAAAATATTATCTTGGTCTCCCTCCACTTGCGCATGCGTCGGCTTCTTGTTTGTATATTCACAAGTGCACGACACGTGACATTACTAACACGTACATCAATCTAGTGATTCTGGTGCCCCTTTCAGTACTTTTTCGAGTGAAAAAAGCTTCCGTTTGAAACGGTTTTAGCTAGTAGCCCAGTGGGCAAACCAGCCGCTCTAATGGAGAGACGGGGATGTCAAGTCTTGGAAGACGAAAACGCGGAAGCCATTGCCTCAGCAACCCCTTGGGTGAGTAGCAATACTTTTTTGTATTCCGTAGGCAGCATTCACGAACACTGTAAGCCCGTGTACTTATCATTATTCTCAGCATAATCACACCTGATCTTGGTGGGTGTATCACTCATTTACCATCAAAATTAACTTTGTTTTAGCTTATGTGTACTTACGTGGCACACGTTTCATTTGCTCAAGTGCTTCATATCTTGAACAAGCAATTAATCCTAACACTTTTATGTACAATTTTTGCCAGCGAGAATGTTAAAACGATAGGTGAGAGCACCGCCTGCGACGCGAAATGCTTAAGTATTGTAACATTGTTTTGACATTTTTGTCGACGTTAATAAACGAGGTGAATTATGTTTGAAAAAACTTAGTTTTTTTTCTCGTGTCCACCAAAATCTTGTAGGTTATCATTTTGTGCAAACGACGTTATAAGGAGCTGTACGTTTCGGTGGCAGTATCGCACCAGACACCAAGCTATATAAACCGCGTACTGAGTGGGTGGTTGAAGTGTCCGACCAATAACTACAGCTCACCCGCATACTTAGCCATTATTCACAGCATGAACAAAATAAACTGCGAACCTGCAGGCTATGACATTCATATGCGTAGTGGGTACTTCGCAATTCTAGTAGTAGTTGTGTACAACGGTCACCTACTTCAGAGTAACGCGTACACTTTTGTAATCTTTTAACAATATCCCGTGATCACTGAGAGTGCGATATGGCCGCTTTCAATTTACTCGTAAAGCAACGAGGTCTGCCGACGATGCGCAAGCACACAAAACACCCTTAACTGCCAGTGCCTTCTGATATGTTCTTTCCTTCATCAGATATTCGAATAATCATTAGTAATTAGCTGCGTACAAAGAAGTACATTGAATAAAATGTAAATACTTTCCGATGTACTCCACTATTCTAGGCAGATTCACTTCCTCTTACAATAATGGCACTTTCTTATTTTCAGTTTTTGTTGTGAACACCTTTCACCGACAATTGACAAACAAACCATGAAGAGTCTAGAGATGCAAACAGACGACCACGACAGTGTAGGCGCACAATGAGTGTTATCATTTGCTTTTAAATGTGAAGCATTTCTTTGCATGCTGCAAGCACTTTTGGAGTTTATCTGCGTATTTATCTATCTATCCGCTTCCGCCTGGGTGCTCTCTTGATCACTCCTTGCACTTCGCGGTAACCAAAATCAGTTTCAGAGGGTAAGACCGTTCGAAAAATATGAGGTGCTGGTCAAAATATGAACAATGACACAATCCCGTCTCATGCATCGTCCAACACTTCCCGCCAGACAGTAGGATATACTTGCGGGTGGTTATGTGCCACAGGTGATTGACCCTGATTATTTAGTCGGGAACGACGAGAGCACACATGGGTAATTTTAACGCGTGAGGGTTGAGGAAAACCTGACATAGGCAGCGCTTACCCGACGAATGCAAAGAATAAATGTCAGGATCCCAGTAAAAATTGAACCCAAGCATTCTGCGCGGTAATTAAGTATTCTACCACAAAACGACGCCAACTCTCCGACCTATTTTTCAAATAGACCCTAGAATTAGTTATTAGTGTCATTGTGGTTGAAGTACTGGTTATTGATTTTTATATTCATTACATATGTACTCCTATGATACAGCCATGACGTCAGGTTACCGTCTATTGTACAGTGGTGAGCACTGTTAGGGTGAACACGCGAGCGCGTGGCCGACGGCATTATCAGCGCCACGTAACAGCCATCGTTGGAAACATTGCACATGCGCAGCATGTGCTTTGCGAAACACTCTTTTTATTGGGCGCATCACGTCATCGATACGCTTGTTCGTCGTCTGCTTGCCGCATTTTTTGTTCGCTGAGCTGATACCTTCTGCATTTCAAGGTCCATCTGGTTTGAAGATTGGCGCGTGAAGGAAAAGGGTGAGTGTACGAGGGATAATTATTAAACTTTTTATTCAAGAAAATTGCACTTTTGCAATTCAAGTTAAACAACGCCATGAGAACAATTATAAAAACATAAGCAAATCTTATAGCGAGTCATGTGACCACTTACAACAACGACTGCAGGTATTCTGGACGGTAACGAGTCGTAAAGTGATCGAACATATTCCCGATCGGCTTTCAACCTTTCCCACTCGTTGCTGACTTGCGCCCACAACTGGTTCAAAGTCGCGAAATAAAGGGGCTTCCTTGCCAAAGAAGCTTTCAGACGACCCACACGTTTTCTATCACATTCAGGTCCGCTCCTTTCGGAGGCCATTCCAGTAGCTGCATGTGCTGCTCCGCCTGGAACTCCTTGACAGCCCGCGCTGTGTGTAACGGTGACCGGTCCTGTTGGAACAGGTAATCACCGTCTGGGAATAAACTGCTCGCATATGGTAACAGCACATTGTTCAAATTGTTTCAGTATTCTTCCGACGATAAGTGTCCACGTATATGTAGCAGGGGCCCTAAACCATATCTGGAAACAGCATCCCACACGCTCACACTCGATCTCCCACCGGTAGAAACACCTTGCACGTTGTATGGGTCGTTCCTGCATGGCATTTTGACGTTAACTAAAACAATTGCTTTTCAAAGCAGCAAGTTTGCCTCACCATGTGCCTGGTAGTCTCCAAACACGCAATCTTTGGTCTTGTCGCGTCGAAAACGTCGACTCATCCGAAAAGATGACGCGACCCCACTCTTCTGATGTCCATCTTCGTGCAACTCAGCGAACTGCCGTCGTGCGTCCTTGTTTGCCGCTGTTAGTAGTGGCTTTTTTGCTGCTACGTGAGTGCGAAGGCCCGCAGTATGCAGGCGACGTCCAACAGTGGTGTCCGAAACGTCCAAATCCAAGTCCTCGCGTATTGCTGGGACTGGCAAGAAAGGGTTACGAACAGCAGCTGCAACTACGAGGGCGTCTTCATCGTCTGTGGTAGATTTAGGGCGGGTGCATCCTGAATGCGACCTTCATACTTGTAGGCTTGAATTATCCTGTTCAGTCTTCAGGGGCCTGATAACTAAAGCGCCAATATACCGCTGGGAATAACCTTTCAGGGAAAGATCGACAATTGAGCGCCGTTCATCATCAGAAACTCTAGCCATAATACGATCGTGCGACAGAATGAACGGCTGCAAGAGATGTTTGGTTGTTTTATATACGGCGTTGCATGCACAACAACTTTGAAGGGAACGAATAGACACGCCCCCATAGATATAAGTTTTTTTGTCTTGTCCTGTTCAAGCACATATGTTTAAAGAAATCTTAAAATGCAGGATGCATGGGCTTAGAAAACAAAAATGCGCCTAGCAGACGACGAACAAGTGCATTTATGACGTCATGCGCGCGGTGGAACAATTATTTCGCGGAGAGCGTGATGCGCATGCGCAATGTTTCCAGTGATGACCGCCACGGGGCGCTGATAGTGCCGTCGGCCACGCGCTCGCGTGTTCACCCTAACAGTGCTCACCGCTGTACTTAAGGGCTATGCGCGGAAGCTGATTTATGTAGCAGCATCCAGAGCTACTACCTTCGCGAGAACCAGCGCTTTTATCGCTTCAGGTGTTGATAATACTCGTGTTACTGTTAGCATCCTTGCCAAGTGCAAAAAACTGGTTAGTTAAACTTCTGCAACTCTTCAACACACATGTGTGCGTTCAACATTTCTACACTTATTTAGCGTCTTTTCATGACGTGCGGTATGTAAAATATTACTACACGGTCACCTCCCCTCTGCATGCTTTGCATAACGTCGATTCCCAAGGTACGGGTGATCTTCTGAGCTGTTTTCATTTGATCAATTTATTGAGTTAAGCTTGTTTTCACGATGAAAAATTATGGACGCAATAGCGCAGGTTAGTTCGTCTTAAAAATATAACAATTCAATGTTTGTATTGTATATTCTAGTCACCGAGGCTGCGATAAGAATTGATGAAGAGGCAATTTAGTCGCAGCAAGTAACACTTCATTCTAAACATGTTATTTGTCGCGAAAAGCTTTCGAACAAAAACTGGAAAGGAAGAAAGGCAGATAAGCGCCAACTACCAACTTTATTGACAACAAAAACTACGAACCAACAAAACATCCGAGCATGCGCCGATGCGTGAAGGAGGAACGACATACAGATCTTCCAGAAAGCTGTGGGTTAAAGAACAATAAAAAGATATTTTAATGAAAAGAAGAGGTCAAACGGCGAGAGTTTCATTAGAAGTGTTTACATCAGAGAGAAGGGGCCCACCTATGGCAGTGACACATCAATTGTGCTATACGGAATCGAGTTATCTTGTTTAATTCACACCTTTCTGGATGACATGTTTCTCGTCATTTCTTCGTGCACTTTAAGGCTTTAACACCCACTAGCCATCATTTGATTATCGTAGAGGCACTTGAATCTGGAAAACATCACACATTTCTTCGACAAAAGATTGCAATATTTATCGATGTTTGTGCCTATATACTTCGTTTAAGGCAGAGCAATTTATATATAAGAGAAGATAAATACAAAACTAAAGAAGTGTCCAATAAAGAATTCAATATATTGCACACCACAGGAGGTTAAATCTGTAGGCCTGTTTTGGCTCCACTGCCTACATAACGCAGACTCCTTCTTAAAAAAAATACTTAGGTCCATTCATAGGCACAGCATTTAATGGGGTATGGTAGGGTAAACGCCCAAAATATTGAGTTTGCAATTCTGACACCGATAAATTTACTGTACTCTAAGAAACAAAGCTGTGGAATCCCGATGTCGAGCGACCGCTCCAAGAGGTTTAAATGCCACGCCGATGTGTGCCGCGCGCTTTCGGGTGTAAGCAGTATGCGCACGTAAATCTTCGGTTTTCTCAAATTGCGTTTACTGTAACTTTTTGAATTTAATGTATCTTTTCTTAAAATGTAATAAATTGATTTCGTTGTAACTTAGTGTGCGGTAGCTACAAGAAGATAGCAACAGTTTGAACTGAAAAAATTGTTGATTTCAAAAAAAGGGAGGCTGTAAAAAGAATACACAAACAAAATGCACC